GTTTACAAAGTGGCTTGCGGGAACTATCTTCTGAGTTCATTGCCGTCAAGAAAGTGGATTCTGACGGGACGACCGTCATTCAAACCCCAACCCCTCGGGTGCCGATGCCGTATATTTACTTGGTATCTTGGTTTGTGCTGCACTGCCCTCCAATAATGACGACTCCTGAATCAAATGACACCTCAACCCCTCTTGTTCAGCAATTAGAAACTTCTGACTGGGCTGGTTGGTACCAAGTTAAATTCCGTGAAATTTTGAGACGGGATTATAATTACAAGATTGCTGTCAAGTTTCCCGCCTTCGAGGGTGGCGCGTATGGAGAACTTCATCAAGACTCTCCGGGGCCGAATTCTTTCACCATGCTTAGCAAGGGCGCTTTTTGGTGGCTCATAAACATTCGTCCGGGCTATCTTATTTTTCGACAAGGGCGGAAATGCTTTATTGAACCATATCAGCCTTATCGCTTTTCTCGGCAATTTGGCTATGATCAGCTCTATGTTGGGAACCCAAACCCTACTCTTGCATTCATAGGTAATGTGTATGAAGGAGCGAGAGCTTGGTTTTACTCAGTGGCTGGTTGCACTGGAGCGACGGGCTCGGGCTCGGGTTCGGGTCGGGTCGGGTGGCGCGCGCACACGACCTGCGGACACGAATGCAGCTCCGGATTAATGGGCCCTTAATATGCTAACATTTTTATTTTTACTAATTGGAACTGTTTAAAACGTGATTAACATTTTTAAAATGTTTAACGGCCAGAATTAATTGGAGAGATTTATGAACTTTAAAACGTAAATGAAACGGGAATCAAAACGGAAAATAGTTTTTATGAGGATTTAATTCGGTAATTAGAAACGTTCATTCTCAACCTCTATATAAACAGCAAGCTGCGAGGGTAGAAAACACAGTGTGAAAAACACAACGTATTCGATCTTCTTCTCTGCTATTTCTCTTCATATTACTATTGTTACATTTTTGGTTCCCTGAAAGTCACGAAGAATTCACAAAGCCTTCTTGAAGCTCATGCCGACGAGAAGGAGGTCGCCTGACCGAGGGTCGTTGTATCTCCGGGAACTTTTGCCGCGTAGCTCTGTACGAGAGGGGACAATTAGTTTCTTGGGACAGTGCTTGCACGCCTCGACCATCAGGCCGTATTTCTAACCCTTATTTCTTTTTGTTTGAATTATTTCTTACATCTGCGTTACAATATTAATCCGTGATTATCTGTTAATTATTAAATTGCTTAAACTGATTTTCGTTATTGTCTAAACAGCTAATATTCCTAACAGTGGATTCTTTAAATCAGTTGTTAATGTCTAATGCTGACCATGTCTAGTTATGGCAGTCTTTTTTGTTGAGCATAAGGATGAAGGATGAGGTGTCCTGCACAATAAATTAAGAGATACTGAAAAGAGAGCAATTGCTTGTAGTTAATGGTTGTCAGCTATATTGGGAGGTACTTCTTTATGGTGTTAGATTTAAGGATGTGGAGGATAAGGATGTTGAGCTTCTAGTTCTAGTCCATGATCAATGTTTGGCTCTTAAGCATCAGCAAAAAAGTTTGTTTCCATTAGAAGTTGAGTGATGAGTTTGGATGCTCATCTTTGTTGCTTATATAGCTTTAGGTAGCAAGAAAGACAATAGGGTAAGATAGTTTGATTTCAAGACGGGTGATATTAGTACAGAAATTAGATCTTTGGTGCAGTTGAGAATTCTGTACTGAGTGATAGGTTTTTTGTAAGCTTGTTAGGCTACCAACATGGATAGCATGACTGGATTATATCCTTTATGGAAACATGTAATATACTGACCATGTTTTCAAGCTTCATGTCTTTGCAGTTTTTATTTTTTATTTTTTTACAGAGCTGTTTTCCATTAAATAAGAAATACTGCTTTCACACAAACAGTCACCCTGTTAGGAAAATGGATGCTTACAACTCTTGGACAACCTTAAATTCATGAACTAGATGCTTGTGTCATGTCATCCTACATAGGGACCCTGTGAATCCTCTGAAAGCACTCAGAATAGTTCCAAGAAGAGGAAGGTTGATGAGTTTTCATCTCATTTCAGAAACATAAAGACCCGAAACCAACTCCTGCCATTGAAGAGCCACGTATCCTATGCTGGACCACTTCCAAAGATGCAGCAGTGACTCCTGCAAATGAAGAGCCATGCTTTTCAGGTCGGGCTATTGAAGCACCACTAGGTCTAGAAATATTTAAAGTAGCTCCGACCAATCACAACCTGGTTGGCGATGCTCAAGCTGAGTCATGTGCTATGAATGAGAGCAACAAGGCAACTGAAGCACCAAAAGAGCTAGAGTTGGTTGACCATTCTCACAGACCCGCACCATTTCTTCTGGATGCAGAGCAGAGTGTTGTGGAGAGAGGCATTTGTTTTTTTCCTCATTGCCCGATATCTGGTGTTCTATGCGTTGATCAGTTGTATATAGCATTTGTTTGGGATATGCCCCCGTTCTATATCAATATAATCTGCAATTTTTGCACCTGCATGTCTACTTTTATGTCTACTTTGTATTGTGTAATTTCCAATTTCAGATCAAAATGAGTTATCAATTGGAATTTTGGAACTGATAACTGTCTTGATGAAGTTTGGATGATAAAATTGCTACCATGATTTGGATTGTCTGACTAGAAAATTTTGTAAAGAAAACGCATGATATGCAATAGATCGTCTCCAACTTGTACCAGTCTTATATGCAAAAACATCATAAATAATTACTTGAGAAATAAACAGTTTCAATTTTTCAATGCCTACACAGGATAATTTTTCAATGCCTTCACATATGAAAAAAGGGCAGTTGACCATCTTTCATAAGCTTACACAAATAAGCAACAAACAACAAAGATTCGAAGAGAGTATATACACAAATCACAAAGCCAAGGCACCAACAAACAATCACCGACCAAACCAAATCTTTTGAGGCTGGATCATCTCCCCTTCTCCATCGTTCATAAGCTTATCAAGCACCACATTAAGGTCCACTGACTGTCCATTCTCTGTCCCAAATGCTCCTTAATTGCGGCCATATTTGCAGCCTTCTCTTGTTTTCTTTTGATCGTCATCTCTTTTGCTTCGGCGGCGGAGAGAGAGTTGGTCGGAGGCGGAGGAGAGAGAGTTGGTCGTCGGCGGCGGCGAGAGTTGGTCGGTGTTGGCGGAGAGAGTAGGTCGGCGTCGGCGGAGAGAGATTTACCCACTGGGGAGCTTATCGACGAAAGTGAGAAGCATGCCGAGCTTGCTTCTGCCGTCGGAGGCGAGGCCTGCGTGCATCTCGACGGTCATCGCGCCCACCACCTGCCTCAGCCTCGACATCGACATCGAGCATCCCTCCTCGAACTCCGCGAGAATCTCGAGGATCCTCGACCATTTCCGGCGATTCTTGACTCGTTTGGTCACCAGGATCCCGGCGATCGTGAGGGAGAGAGCGGCGCAGCCAAGCCCACCAGGCCCATCAACGATGACCAACTGCAAAGAGTCTCCAGAGAACGATGATCACGAGAATTAGTTTGAGGGAGAGAGAGTCTCGTGATCATTGCGTGATTTTTGCAAAAAAGTCCATGCGTACTTGATCACGAGACTTGGGCAATGAATGCAGGATTTTTTGCAAAAAAAGTCCATGTCGGCTAGGGGTGAGCACGGTTCGGTTCAAACTGAAAAAACCGACCGAACCGATCCGAACCGACCCGGAAAAAACGGTTTTATGAGTAAGGCGGTTCGGGTCGGGTTGACAATTTTTCAAACCGATCCGAACCGAACTAACCGAATATATTTGTGCCTTTGATTTGTGGGTTTATTGCTATGTTCGATCACCATGAATAGCAGTTGCAGGGAATTGATTCATACATGACCAATGTTCTAATGAGTCAGCTCCTTTTTTTGTCTCCACAAAGACCAAAGTCAAAGCTTGCTACACAAAGACAAAGCATGTCAGTTACTAAAAAAATACAACGTCAGAGTCTAGTATTTAATCCAAAAGGACAAGTTACTTCACTTAAAAACAGTATACATACATGAGCAAGAATAATAAATTGAAGTGAAGTTAAAAAACAAATACATGCTGGCATAGGGTAATAATAATATATAAAAGATAAATTGAAGTGAAGTTATACTTGATGAAGTTAGAACCGAACAAACCGAACCGAACCGCTATGTGTGTATATATAAGTTTATATGTGTGTGTGTTTATATATATAATACAATTTGTTTATGTAATTACTATAAGTATTTACAATTTGTTTATGTATAATATATGTATATGTGTGTGTGTGTGTGTATATATATATACATATATATATATTGAATGACATGAATACTTTGGGCTACTTTGTCTAGTGGTAAAATTTAGGAGTTTGAAGAGTAGGTTAGTGGTTCAAATCCTTTAAATTCTACAATTATTTTTAATTTTGTTTGTTTCTACAAATTTTACAATTATTTTAATTTCTATAATGTTTTATATTTATAAATTACATAATTACAATTGATTAATAATATAATTTTTTATCAAAATTGTATTTATTTTTGGAATTATATTCTTCAAAATTTAAAAAATTTAAAAAATTTTAAATAATAAAAAAACAGGGCCGGCCAAACAACACTTTTTATAATTTACGAAGTATGAATACGCGTGATCTCTAATTTGTTGTGCACTTACACTTTGGAGGACTCGACACATAATTTTTTTTAAAACTTTGATAACGTAAATTTTGAACGTATTCAAAATACGAAAACGTTGTTAACCTTTAGTCTTTACTATCCTATCCAAATAAAATTTAATTATTGTTAACCCTTCATAAGAGATTAACTAAGTTAACCTTTTTACTTAACCTCCTCTCTTAATCCCTTGCCAAACAACATGTTAATGTTTGTTGAGTTTACTTTTAAACCTATCGTAATTATATTTCATAAAGAATTATGGCAGTTTAAAATAAAAATGGGGTATATGTCACAACAAATTCAAAAACGCAAGTTCAAAGTAGCTTGTAGAGGAAATAAGGTATTAAAGTGCTAATTAGTCCTCGACATATATAGAATTCTGAGATTATTCCTCATGCTCACCTTTTGAATTAAAACTTTTAACAACTAAATCAAATTGTAATTCCCCGCGTATTCCTCGTTCATATTCCAAAACCCCAAAACTCCATGAAATCTGCATTAAAATGGAAGAAGAGAACCCACAAATCCCTCCTCCTGAAATTTCTTTCCACTTCTGCCCTCCCCAGCCCCCATTATCCCCTCCGTGATCTCTACCCCTCCATTGCCCAAATCCAATCTCTCTCTAGCCGTGGTGAAATCGCCGACGCCCGCAAACTGTTCGATGAATTGCCCCACCGAAGCACAATCGCATGGAACTCCATGATCTTTGGCTACTCTCAACATGGGCTCCTCGACCAAGCCCATTCCCTCTTTGACTCCTTCTCCGGTCGCAACACCCGCACGTGGACCATCCTCGTCTCCGGCTATGCCAAAGCCGGCCGCCTTGATGAAGCCCGGGAGCTCTTCAACTCGATGCCCGACCAAAATCCTGTTTCTTGGAATGCAATGATTAGTGGGTATGTTCAAAATGGCAGTATTAGGAATGCAAGGGAACTGTTTGATGAAATGCCGGAAAGAAATTGCGAGTCTTGGAATGCGATGGTTACTGGGTATTGTCGTGAATGTATGATGGAGGAGGCGAGGGGGTTGTTTGAGTTGATGCCTGAAAAGAATTTGGTTTCTTGGACTGTTATGATATCTGGGTATGTGAGGGTTAGTAAGTTTGTTGAGGGTTGGAGGATTTTTAGGAGGATGATTGATCGCGGGTTTCGCCCGGATCAGTCGAGTTTTGCTGCAGCTGTTAATGCTGTTGTGGGTGTACATGATTTGTGCTTGCTTGAAAATTTTAGGACATTGGCCATCAAAACAGGGTTTGAAGCTGATGTGGTTATAGGAACGGCGACATTGAATGCATATACTAGATATAGTCAAGGGTTAGACTTGGCTAAGAAGTTTTTTGGGGGGATGAAGGAAGTTAATGATTATACTTGGTCCACAATGATCTCTGCATTGTCCCATGTTGGGAGATTGGATGATGCAGCATCTGTCTTCGAGTGTGATCCGGAGAAGTCTATCGCATCTATGACAGCGATGCTGACTGGTTATGCACAGCATGGAAGGATTGAAGAAGCTAGGTTTTTGTTTGATCAGATTCAGAACCCTAACGTGGTATCTTGGAACGCGATGATTGCTGGGTATTCACAGAATGGCATGCTTGATGAAGCTAAGAAGTTGTTCGATGGGATGCCTGTTAGAAATCCGGTATCTTGGGCAGCAATGATTTCTGGCTTTGCTCAAAATGGAAGATCTGAAGAAGCTTTGGAATTCTTAATTGAGCTTCATAGGCTGGGTATGTTGCCTAGTCCTTCTAGTTTTACAAGTGGTTTCTCTGCTTGTGCTGCTGCTGGAGCTATTGAGATCGGTAGACAATTGCACTCTCTTGCTATTAAGGTCGGTTCCCAATTCAATTCCTTTGTCAATAATGGTTTGATTACTATGTATGCGAAGTGCAAGAACATTGGAGATGTGAATCAAGTCTTTAGATGGATGAGAACAAAAGATAGCATCTCATGGAACTCTATGATAACTGCATTAGCTCAGAATTATATGCTAGAGGATGCTAAAAATGTATTTGAGAAGATGCCACATCGTGACGTTGTCTCCTGGAGTGCCGTTATATCTGCCTATGATCAGGCTGAGCAAGGAAATGAAGCCTTTGAACTCTTTCGCAGAATGTTGGCTGAAGGGACTTTGCCCAATTCATTAACAATGACTAGCCTTCTCAGTGCTTCTGGAAACTTGGGCATTGTGAAGTTGGGGAGGCAAATACATTGCTTGGCTTGTAAATTAGGCAACAATCTGAATCTTATCGTTGGCAACTCATTGATAACTATGTACTGGAAATGTGGATGTGTTGACTCCTTCTCTGTTTTCTATGAGATGAGAGAACGAGACACGATCACATGGAATTCAATCCTTGCAGGGTGTAGTCAGCATGGATTTGGACGAGAAGCTATTGAGATTTTTGAAAAAATGAAGGCTGAAGGAGTCTCGCCAAACCAAATCACCTTTGTAAATGTCCTCTCTGCCTGTAGTCACGCTGGCTTGGTTGATGAAGGATGGAGATATTTCAAGTCCATGAGTAAAGATTACAGTCTCATGCCATTAAAAAATCACTATGCTTGTATAGTTGACCTCCTTGGCCGAGCTGGACATTTGTATGAAACCGAAGCATTTATAGAAAACATGCCTATTGAACCAGACTCTGTAGTATGGGCTGCACTTCTCGGTGCATGTAGAATTCATCAGAATGTTGAGCTTGGCAGGAGAGTTGCCGAGAGGCTATTTGAAATGGAGCCACAGTATTCGGCTCATTATGTACTATTATCCAACATATATGCATCTCTTAAGATGTGGGATGAAGTTGAAGAGGTACGGAAATTGATGAGACTTCGAGGTGTGAAGAAAGAGCCAGGTTGCAGCTGGATGCAGATAAAGAACAAAATGCACGTTTTTATTACGAATGATAAGCAACATGAACAGATTAAGGAGATTCATCGTAAGCTGAAGGACTTGTATGATTGGCTAAGAGGTTCAGGTTATGTTCCTGATACCAAATTTGTTCTTCATGATTTGGAAGAAGAACAGAAGGAGAATGTTCTTCTCTACCACAGTGAGAAACTTGCAGTTGCATATGCTCTCTTGGCTACTCCTGAGGGAACGCCTATACAAATCTTGAAGAACCTAAGGATCTGTGGCGATTGTCACACTTTCTTTAGCTTTGTGTCCAAGGTCACTAGTAGAGAGATTGATATAAGGGATGGTAATCGATTTCACCATTTCAGGAATGGGGTTTGTACATGTGGGGACTATTGGTGATTGAGGTTCTGAGAATTTGCGCGGTGATGCTTCTAAGCGGTACTTGCAAGAGTCAGTTCTAGATTGGAGATGAGCTTCACTTCTTTGAGGCTTTATGGCAAAGTGATCTATTGCAGAGATTAGTACTAACTTAGTCGAACTTTACGGAGATGAAGAATACTCACCAAATACAGCACACTGATAATTCTGAGAAGATTTTCAGGCTATTGCTTGTATTACTGATCCTCCAGTTTTGTTCTGTCGTAATTCAAGTAATTTCACATTACACTACCAATGGAGCCATTGAAGAAAAGTTCATTCCCAAACTGGATTGTGGGCTGAAGGTATACACCACATTTCGATGTCTTACATACTCAGGAGGTGTTAGATTGTCAAAAGTAAGCAGTGAATTTTCCTGTTTTTATGGATAATGTAGAGTTTCTGAACATGTTCAACATAAAAAAAAACCAACAAAGCACAATTACTAAGATGACTGATTGTAAATTAATTTATACTAGTGGACAAATTTTCAAAATAGACCTTCTTTGAAAAATAATCACATATACAACCTACTTGCAAATTATTTATCAAATTCGACCTAGTTTTAGCCATGTCAGCAACATGGTCTGAAACTGGGTCGAATTTGTGAAATATGATCTACGAACTCTACAAGGGTGAGAATCCAGTGTAGTTTAATTGAGAATTAATCTCTATGGGATTCTCAATCTTGTATAGTTTAGAACTCTACTAAACCCAATGGGATTGAGAATCCCACTACGCGGGATTCACAATCATATGTAGTTTATTTCAATTCAAACTCCGCGATTGTGAATCCAATGCTCTCTATGTTTATTACAGACAAAATCACAGAGAGCTGTGTTTTCCTCTCTGCAACTTCACAGGATTTGGAATCCCGTGGAGTTGAGACTAACTTTGCGGGACCCACCCCGACTCTCGATCTTTGTTGCCTCTCTTTCCCCGACTTTCACTTCTCTCTCTTAACCCCCCTCCCCCTTGGAGTTGGAAACTTGTTGGAGTGAGTATGCAACTCCACGGGATTGGTAATCCCGTGGAGTTTGTATTATGAAACAAACTCCATGGTATTCACAATCCTATGGAGTTAGTATTATGAAACAAATTCCACGGGATTCACAATCCGTGGAGTTTAGTAGAGTTCTAAACTCTACGGAATTGAGAATTCTATGGAGATTAATTCTCTAGTAAACTACATGAGATTCTCAATAACGTGGAGTTTGTAGAACTTATTTCTCAAATTCAACCTAGTTTCGACGCACGTTGTTGATGTAGCTACAACTTAGTCGAATTTGCTAAATAAAATGCAAATAGATAAAAAATGATGATTATTTTTTAAAAAATGTCTATTTTGAAAATTTGTCCTATACTAGTCTAAGATGCATTTCATGACATTCTTCTACATCTTCACTTTGAGTATAGTATGGTTGAGCAATATGCTGGTTATTTGCTACTCATTGTTTAGGTTTATCTTACACTTTTTATTTCAAAGTGGCTTCTTTTACCATATTTATAATTTGTTTATGAGTGGAAGGGAGGATTCACCAAGTACATCCTACAGATACCCCCTCCAAAGTATTTCAGTCTCGTTCTTTTATAGAAGAGTCTGGAATACTTTGGATGTGATTGTCCCAACCTTCAGTCGGTGTAACGGGACTTTGGAATGACTTCTGTTCTGGATTCCTTCAATTCCTTCATGCTATTCGGTGCTTTGTCGAACGTCTGTAAGGAATTCGGTGCTGCATTTATTGTCTGACCGTTGTCGGAATTTTGAACTTGAAGTCGATTCTTAATTTAAGGAATTCGGTGCTGCATTTATTGTCTGACCGTTGTCGGAATTTTGAACTTGAAGTCGATTCTTAATTTCCTGACTTTTTAGCTCGAGTTTGTTTCTTCAACACAGAACTAAACATCAGTCGTCGGCGTTGAATCTTCATTTATAACGCGTTGTCCGGCGTTTGAGCTTCCTGGTGACGCGTTGTCCGGCGTCCAGGCTTCATTACAACGCGTTGTCCGGCGTGGTGTTGTTGAGTTATCCTTAAGAAAAACATATTCTCCAGGAACTCCTCAATCAAAATTAGGGAACAATTTATACTCATATACCTTATTTGGAGTATTAAGAAGCAGTTTATACTCGTATACTTTTCGGAGTAATGATTCTTTCATTGCAACGCATTGATTGGCGTTGACCTAGGGTTACGCGTTGACCGGCGTTGACCCTAGGGTTTTGAGCGTCATACGTTGAGTTTTTTATCGCAACGCGTTGACCGGCGTTGACCTAGGGTTACGCGTTGTCCGGCGTTGACCCTAGGGTTTTGAATATCGCTGGATGCTCAAGTCACGAGACCAACTAATGAAGCTGATGCGTCAGTGACTCTCGTATTTATAGGATTTTTGGCAAATCCCCCTCGCATATTTATAGGATTTTTGGCAAATCCTCAGCCATCAACGGGTTTGATGCGCCTTTACCGACTACCGTTTGAGTCGGGCTAGCATGCGGATTGTTTTAAGTCCGTTCCGCATGTGACGTTATGCTAAAAGAGTTAACTCTTTTAGTGCTACGATATTGAATACGTAGACTTCGTCTTTCTCCTGTGAAAAGACTAAACAGCAACGTGTATCAGACGTTGACTTAGGATTTTTGGCAAATCCTCAGCCCTCAACGGATTTGTCATGCTTTTACCGATTACCGTTTGAATCGGGCTTACATGCGGATTGTCTTAAGTCCGTTCCGCATGTGACGTTGTGCTAATCTTTATCTTTATTATGATTCCTCATTCCGTTTGAAATGATTGACCATAATACTCATAGGATTTTTGGCAAACCCCCAGCCTTCAACGGGTTTGATTAGCCTTTACCGACTACCGTTTGAGTCGGGTTAGCATGCGGATTGTCTAAATCCGTTCCGCATGTAACGTTGTGCTAAGAGAGTGAATTCCCTTAGACTTTGTGCTATGATGTTGAATACATAGACTTCGCCATTGTTACGGGAATAGGCTACCCGGCAACGTGTATTAGACGCTGACTTATCCCTACTTAGGCTTCTTGATCGCTCAATTTGTGGACCTCTCGTTCATTGGGGGAATCGAGAGGGGATTTTGACTGTGGTCCTAACTGTAAGAAGGTTTGACCAAGTGGGTGTTTTGAGACAATCCTAACTGTAGGAAGGTTTGATCGCTCAATTTGTGGACCTCTCGTTCATTGGGGGAATCGAGAGGGGATTTTGACTGTGGTCCTAACTGTAAGAAGGTTTGACCAAGTGGGTGTTTTGAGACAATCCTAACTGTAGGAAGGTTTGATCGCTCAATTTGTGGACCTCTCGTTCATTGGGGGAATCGAGAGGGGATTTTGACTGTGGTCCTAACTGTAAGAAGGTTTGACCAAGTGGGTGTTTTGAGACAATCCTAACTGTAGGAAGGTTTGATCGCTCAATTTGTGGACCTCTCGTTCATTGGGGGAATCGAGAGGGGATTTTGACTGTGGTCCTAACTGTAAGAAGGTTTGACCAAGTGGGTGTTTTGAGACAATCCTAACTGTAGGAAGGTTTGATCGCTCAATTTGTGGACCTCTCGTTCATTGGGGGAATCGAGAGGGGATTTTGACTGTGGTCCTAACTGTAAGAAGGTTTGACCAATTGGGAATTTTACGTCCAGACTCTAACAGAGAGAGTGTTGAGTGCATAGACATGGTGAGAATGGGAGTTCTTATTCATTACATTGCTGTGGTTTTGGGAACTTCCCGTTACATAAATCGTCCACCCCCAGTTTCGTCTGCGGAACTGGTTCGGACATTATTATCAGTTAACTAACCGGGTTATCCTTAAGAATATTAGCTTAATATTTTCCAGGAACTTCCCGTCAAAAGTGGGGAAACAGTTTAGACTCATATACCTATTGGAGTATCAGGGAGTAGTTTAACCTCTTATACCGGTCGGAGGATTGAGAAACAGTTTATACTCGTATACTCTTTGGAGTTTTGAGAAGCAGTTTATACTCGTATACTCTTTGGAGTGTTGCCGTTCTTATTTGGCTTACCTTAGCATTATGACGCCGGCTTCAACCAAGGTCTGAATGCTATTCTTGAGAGTAAAGCAATCCTTGGTGGGATGAACGACCCTCCTGTGATATGCACAGTACTTTGGGTCCGTAGTGTTGTCAGCTTCCTCCTGATTTGTGATAGGTGGTAGCTTGATCTTGTTACCTTCAAGGAGGGATTCGAAGATGGCTGGAACGTCTTCGTCCTTGAAAGAGTATTCTTTTTGGAGTCTTGGACCCGAAGTCTTTTGCTGCCTTCGGGATTGCTGTCGCGACGTTTGATTAGCATCATCCGCCGCTGCAGGTGTCTTGCCCTTACCACGGGAGGCGAAGTTAGAATTCGGAGGCTCAGTTGTCAATTGACCCCTCTCGGCTTTCTTCCTTCGGAGGAATCGTTCAGCTTGCTCCCCTCGGACCCTCAGGTCCTTCCACGTTTTGGACGATGCTGTTCCCATTGCTTCTAACACGTTCAACGAAAGATTGTCGTGGCAGGTCTGGAGAATGAACTCTTCAGTGATCGGGTCCCGGCAAAGGTGTCGACTAACTCTCCGTCTTTCTGCTTCTCATCGAGCAATGATCCGATAGATACCTCGGTGTCGTCGTCGAAGAAATTGGCAAGGAACTTGGTCTCCATGTCGTCCCAGCTATTTATGCTGCATGGCTTGAGGCGGCGATACCAATCGAAGGCGGCTCCGCGAAGAGTGCCGACGAATGACCGCACCATCAGAGGCTCGTTGCCGGAAATAATACCCAGGTGCGATTTGAAATAAATCAAATGCTGTGTGGGGGAACCCTTCCCATCGAACGACGTGAAGTTGATTAGATTGAACTTCGCCGGATATGTGATCGATTCCCACTCTCTTGGGTATGGACAGGGAATGCCTGTTTTCTTTGTCTCTTGAGCGGAGATCAATGTATTGATCTTGCTCTCGAGATCTTTGATCTTCAAGTCTTCCCTTGTATCTTCGTTGGCATCCTCGTTACCATCCCCTGCATTGACGGGAGGGTTATTGGCATTGTGAGCTCCATCCCTATCCGTGTGCTCCTCTTCCTGAACAATCTGGTTACGGCGGCTTGGTTCACCTCGCTGGTTCGTCAGTGCCTGCATTTGTTGCTCATGCATCTCTCTCATAGTCTGCATGGTCATCTGCATCTCGAACCTAAAGCTTTCCTGTTGTTTGGCTATGGCATCTTCGAGCATCTTGGCCACTTGTTCCGCGCTTATCATCAGTGACTCGCGGGGTTCCCCCTCACTGGACACTGTATTATCTGATGCGACTGCGGAGCAGGTATCCGACTCTTCACCTTCTGAAGGTACTCTTGTCTGAACCCTACCATAAGTTCCTCGTGCGATTGCTCCAGACTGCAGACGGGTTAGACGCCAGGATGCTTTCAGAATCGACTCGAAATCATCCCGTGCCGATGTCCCCTTGTTGGTCA